TATAATATAAAACTAATATAATATCAATAAAATAATATAAAATAATGTTTAAAAATATCTATAATATTACAATATGTACTCTTGTTTTAATATTACTAATCTTTATAATGGTGTTAAATGGTTAGAGATTTCAAAGAAGATGCTAGCCTCTATAGTACTTGTATAAATCACATGTTAAAAGAACTCTAGGTAGCATTAATATTAGCAAAATTTTCTTGTCATTACATTTTGTCTATTTGGCCAAAATAAACACATGTTAAAATAGATAAACTATCTGATTTTTGCAATACAGAAGCTTGATTTGCCAAAGCTTAAGCATTTTTACATTATATTATTTTAAAAGCAATATGCTTACTTTCTTGAAGCATATTAAAACCTTTTTTTTTTTAAATCATAAAAAATCTTAACAGTTTTATCTATATGTAGTTAATATTTATTATTAAAAATTTATATATTATTACTTTAATACTGTTTAAAGAAAGCTAAAATAGAGTTATTTGCAAAAGCATTCATAGCTACAACATGAATAGTTGACTTTAACAAATCTTGCATAGCATTTTCAAATTCTTGTGCATGGATTTTACTAGATATTTAGTGCATGATCATATTGACTTTATCTAAAATAACTACATATAGTTATCTTTTATAAAGCTTAATATTATATGTACTTTTAATCTGAATAATAATAACATCCTAATTACTTATAAATAAACTACCTTTAACTTCTTAATATTGGCATATACAAAAAATCAAATTTTGTAATATTTCAACTTTAGATTTGGTCTTATTGCTAAAAGTTTTGTAATATAAAACTCTAATAAAGCAAAGCAAATTTTTTTTATTTTTAGCTAAAAAGTTAAAAGTTTCTTTTAAGCTTTTGTTTTACCAATACCTACAAATAAATAGATAAAGTTATACTACATACAGAACTTAAGAAGTTTGAATAAGTTTTTAAAGCTTTTTTTATCTCTTTTACATTAATATTTTTTTTAGATAATTTAGTGAATAAATGTAAATTTTTTACAATATTAATTAATTTATTATTTAATCTTCATTTAGGTCTTTCTTTTGGCCTAATTATACCTAATACTTTTCTAAATGCCAATCTTTTATAATCTGGTTTATAGTTTTTCTGTTAATAATATCTAAGTATAAAGTGCCTATTATTTTAAAGAAAACTATATAACTGATCTCTTTTATATTTAATATTACAAATAGAACATATTTTCAGTAACTTCACTTAAAAGTTAACAAATCTTTTTTCAATTTTTCTAATCTCAAGTTATTTATATTTTGCTATAACTAGACTAGTTTTTTTGCTTAAGGCACTTTTATCTTCGATAAACTGAAATTTCTCTTTTCTTTTTGACTTTTTAGAAGAAAAGGTTCAAAACCAGATTTCAAAATAATCAGATTTAGGTTAAACTAAATAATTCTTTAGCTTGTAATATTCTTTCTTAACTAAAAAAACTGTAGGTCTTTTAACTTTATTTTCTTTTATTGATTCAAGGAGCTAAAAACTAAAATGAAATTTTTTTTTATATTAAGGCTACCTTTTTGATCTTTTGACTTTTATTAGCAGAATAAATATATAAAATATTGCAAAAGATTTTGCATACTAAAAAAAATCTTTCAAAATAACTGCAATTGATATGAAATTATTTTGAAATAAAAAATTTACAATATTATAAAAGAAACAAAATAATTTTGAAAAAATTTTAGCTATTTTACAAAATTTTAAAAAATAACAAAACTAAAAAAATAAAAACAAAATTCAAAAATAATTTGAAATATTTAGAACAATTTAAAATATTTTAAAAATATTAAAATAATTTTAAAATTTTTCAAATATTTGAAAGATTTTTAAAATAATTAAAAAATTTTGAAATAATTTTAAAAAGATTTTATTTTTTAATGCATCTGCACCATGGTGCACCCATCATATGCTATCACAAATAAACATATTGATTAGCATGATAATGATTATAATGTATTGATCAACACATATGTCACATGACAGCCATCCACTATCATATGACAGTCATCAACACACTTTAACTATTTACAGTACACACAATATACATAGCAAATTTATTAACTATAGCATCTCTAACTCTAAGAAGTATACGTATTAATGCTTACTTTAACCCTAACTCTTTAATAAAAAAACATTTAAAGATTTATACACTTGCACTATATATCATATGTATATATATATATGTATAGCTAGTTATAACAATAATCCCCAAATTAACCTTAACTTTAATAAAGATAAAATATAACAATATAGATCTTAATTGCTTATTACTATTCAAAAAATCAATTTAAAATATTCTTAAACAATTAACATTACTATGATATGCTACAAATATATTATACAATAAAGCAAGAATTACAATCCTAGATTTAACTTTATTTCACTTTATCAGCCACTACTACAGTTGATAATTGTATATACAAGCATATAAAACAATTAATATATATATGAACATTTAAACCTTCAATCTTATTCTATATAAGCAATACATACAGTAATCATACCTTTACAATTTCATATACTTAGTCTTTTTTTTTATGTAGACAAGTTGCAATATTATGACCTGGTTGCTTACAAAATTTACAAGTATATTGCCCATGCTTTTTACTGCTTTGTTCTTGTATAGTCATTACAACATTCTTACTATGACCTGATGACTTTGGCCTTCCTTTAGTAAATATTTTTTGGAGATTTGCAATCAGCATTATATTATCTTTTACATTTTTAATAATGTGTTGGCTTGCTGTAACCTCTTGTTTTCTGATCAATTCATCTTTTTTTGCTCAAATCTTTTCTAAATAAGCTTCAATTAAATTAACAAATTTATAATCATAATGCAATGTACATTTATTTATAGTAGTACATGCAAGACCCCAAACTTTTCTATAAAAAAGCATTTTATAAATAAACTTTTCATTTATAGACTTCCTTACATTATGATCAGCAAATGATTGCAATCACACAAATTGACATTTATTGCTTTCTTGAACAACATTCATATCATTAACTAATTCATTAAAATGTTGGCCAGAGTATAAACATTCTTTTGCTACATCTAATCATTTGTCTTTAGGAATCCATTGTGTTATTATTAGCTATAAACTAAATTGTGTCTTCTCTGTAATATTCAATAAATAATAAAAATAATGACAAACAAGACCTTTTCTTTGTTGTAAAAGACAAGTGCAGCTATATAACCCATTTTTAAGAAGAAAACTAAAATAATTAATTCTGTAACTTGTGACTTTCGATATTTTTCAGACCTTCTCAACTGTATTTCAGTTTAAATAATCCAAAAGATACTTAACAGACAGGTAAATCATGTCAGGCTCATCATCTATATTTTTATTTTGTAAAGATTTATTATTTATAAGTAATTCTACCTCTTCAACTATAAAATGACTAGAAGTATAAAATAAACTCTCCTTCATTTGCTTTATTAAAAATGTAAAACATTTGGCCTCAAATAACATTTTAGTAAGGATTCTATTAGAGAAAAAATAGTAACAATGCTTGTTATAGAAGGAATACCTAGTCTTCATTCTTCAAATTGCTTTTGCTTTTGTTCTTCTTTATTTCTTTCTACAATACTTTATCTATATTACACAATGATGTATTACTATTCTCCAACACTTATTTTATATATGCATTTTGACTTTTGATGAAGGATGTAGATTGAATGCCAAATGTAAATGTCATCATAATGAAAGTATGTGCCTATGAATGTTGACATTCATAAAGATACCATTCAAGATATGGTTTTGCATCAGAGAAGTTCATAAGTTGATTCCAATAGTATTCAAAGCCATATAATGTATCAGCATTCCTATATTGCCAGAATTTGCTATAAAATTTCTCAAATGAATCTCCTAACTTTTTATACAACATCTTTTTTATATTTTCTTTAATATACCAAATACAAAAAGGTGATGCATTTCTGGATACTCTAAAGTTATTGCATGTTCCATTCCTAGATTACTATCAGTAACAAATACACATGGGTATTTATTATTAGTAGCTTTTTTAGTCATTTGAAGAACCCACTAGTATGTTTTAGTTAATTCATTACTGACAAAAGCTTAAGCAACAATGCAAGATTGCATGTTATCATTTTGTACTACAAATAAGAAAAGAGGCATATTATATCTATTGGTACTTATGATATTATCATGCCCAATTGCTTCACCAAATTCATACTATAATAAAATTTGTTCTGAACTCGTCCAGAACAAATTTGTTAGTGTATTAGTTTCTTCTTTCTATGTAGCTTTAATAAACTAGCAAGAATCTTTTTGTTGTTTTGATACTAACTGATCATAAAACTGTGATACATCACTTCTAATTACACTATTTGATAGTTGACATCTTTGTATTTCAGCATAGAGATCTTTGGAAAACATAGGGTGAAATAGAAACTTCTCCTTTAAGATACATTGCACTATAGTTGCACCAAGATGACATTTAGTAACAAGGAATTCAACTTCTATTCACATCTCTTCTGTAAACTGTTTGTTTTTTTCAAAACATATTGCCTTAGAAGATAAATTATAATTATGATTATTATCTAATATTGTAACAAATACATGAAAATTAGGATTATCTTTCAAAGAGCATAAAAGATTAATGTGCCATGGGCATAATATTAGAGCGAAGTTCTTGTCTTTCCAGTATTTTTAGACTTATATATGCTAGAATGTTTGCAGAAAATAGTTCATTTGTGAAATACCTTACTGCTTTTAGTAGCATCAACTATTTTTACATACCCAAGTTTCACTTTAAACCCCTTATATTCTGCAAATCGACGTACATAAAAATCATCAAAGTTATCAAAAGAATCATTCTCTTTTAAAAATACTGGTTCTGAATTATTGCAAGTGTTGTTTATATCCTTGCTATAGCAAGTAATTTCCTCAAAATACATTGTCAAATTGATGTCGTCTTTATTAAAATCTTTTATGATTGTTGCATAAATTTTTTTTTGTTTGGCATTAAAGCTATTATAAAAAAGTTTGAGTTCTGTTTTGAAAAAAAAAACTAATTTGTAAGCACAAGAAAATATAAGTAATAACTAGAGATATTGTTGCAATGCTGCAATTTATTATAATGACAGCATTGTAACAACACCTCTAATAATCTCAAAATTCAAGCACAAAAGTTTATTTAAAATCTAGTCAAGTGAAATCCTAACAATCAAAAGCCCAATTGAATGTCTTGATTTCTACCAAACCTATAATCTTCTTGAGTAAATTATCCAAAAAGCTATTTTCACTTTGAAATAACCTAAAAGAAACATAGGAAAGTGTATTGTCTTATTAGTTTTTTAGTATAGTTTAAGCAAAACAATGCATAATAATATATAATATATTTATATCTGATTAACTACTAACTCTACCCTGTTTATAGCATTTCTAGATTTTTGCAAATAAAAGACTATTCTTGTCTCGAATTCTAAAGAAAAAATCAGAAAAGTGAATTAGTCTTATTGGTTTCATAATACAGTTTGAGCGAAGCAACATATGATTACATGTGAATTAGATCTATACTTAACTATAATTGTTAGGTGAAACCCAAAAAAAGAAATTATAACAATAAAGTTCATTGTTATAATTTTCTTTTTTTGGGTTTTACCTAACAATTATATACTTGACTGACTACTAACTTGGCCTTATTTCTAAATTTATACTGCTTTTGCTTCAAATTCTAAAGAAAAGATCAAAAAAGTGAATTAGTCTTATTAGTTTTATAATACAGATTGAATGAAGCAAAGCATGATAATATGTGAATTCTAAAATTAGGTCTATATCTGACTGACTACTAACCCAGCCTTATTTCTAAATTTATACAAGTAAAAAACCAGTTTTGTCTTGAATTCTAAAGAAAAGATCAGAAAAAAGAATTATAGTAGTCTCATTAGTTTTATAATACCAGTTGAATGAAATAATGCATGATGACAAGTGAATTCTAGAATTAGGTCTATATCTGGCTGACTACTAACTCAGCCTTGTTTATAATATTTCTAAATTTATACAAGTAAAAGACTATTCTTGCCTCAAAATCTAAAAAAAAAGTCAAAAAAAGAAATTAGTTTCATAGTATAAATATAGAGTATAATATGTGTAAATAACATTACGCATAAATTAAATTTTTAGTATAGTACTACATATCTGGTTAAAAATATTTTGATATACAGCATGTGACAGGTGCACTATGATGCATGAAGCATCAAATTATAATTCTCTTATTATATAGTTTTATTAAATATTTAAAATAAATAAAAAAATAGTAATATTATTTATATTTAGTATAGTTTAGAATTTTTAAAAATCAGGATGTAGGTCCCATAGCTTAGCGGTTAAGCTCCCATGCCCCCACAGTCAAGGTCAATAGTTCAAGTCCAGCTGGAGACAAAATTAAAAGATTTTAGCCTTTGTAACCCAATAAGGAGCCAGTAATTGAATGCGAA